TGGTTACACCTATATTAGCATTTTAACTTAGATAAGGAGTACCAATCTGAAATGAACCCTTATCAATCCCACTTACTATACTTCAGTTTGCATCACAAAGCAGTTTTGGATAACACAAACATTTGTTTTGGTTGAAAGTAAAACTGGAAAAGGTGTTCCAGCAGTGCATCTCACATACTGGAACTGCTAAATTGTGTTCAGTCAACAGGACCAGAGGAGACTCTACAGTACTCCCTCGCCCTTCCAAAAAACACACCGTATGGATATGAAAGTACTAGCATCAACTCTCAGTATATTCTCTTTTATTGTGCTCCACTTCTTGATAATGTAGCCTAAGTTACTGCTTTGAGTAAGTAAGAGTGGCCAATACGTAATTTTAATTCTTTCGGTAAGAACATACAACCTTATTGCTAGCACAAAATTTACAAAGCATTTGGAGACTTTTAAAAAAAGGATTCTTGGAAGTTCACAAGTACCATGCATTGAATCTGTTATGTCAAAAAGTTAACTGATATTGCAGGCCTGGTGGACATCTACAAAGGCCCCCTAAATCCTTAAGAAGTAGGGGCTGTTACACTATATGCTTTTAAAATACCACTTAGAATGCATACATAGTAGTGTATGAAGGAATTTATCTATTTAGCTAACGGATACACACGCACCTAGACTGGGTAATGAAATAACCTAGATTTGCAACAAAATTCCTTATTGGATCATCAGAAAAAATTGATTAAGTTGGTCGGAAGTGAAATATGATAGGAACTCAACTATCACTGTGACATAGGAGCTCCTGTGATTCAGGAGCAAAATGGACAAAGGAAGATCACGAGGCAATACTTGTATCAAATTTAAAGACCAATGTGGCAGGCTTTCTGCTCGCATGAGGTTTTCCTTGTAGTTCTGTTATGTTTGAGGCCTTTTTTGCCTCATTGTCCAATTAACAACAAGCAAAGTTAGTTTTCAAAGCGTATTTAAAAAAAAACCAAACAACCAAACAAAAAACCCCCAACAGGTTGAATTGCAAGCATTACGGGCCCAAACTTTTAGAAGTGCCCACCTGTTTCAGATGTCCCAACTTTTAGATCCCAAAACAGCATTACTGGACTTTCAGAAAGTGATAAGTGTGTTCTAAGCATATACGTTTCAGCACGTCGACTAGTACTTCCAGCTTCTGCAAAGCATTCATTAGCAGTCTGGGAAAGTGGATCTGCATAAAACTGAATACAGCAGCTCTACCGGCTGTTATCTCAACCTTCGGCTGCCAAAGACTTACCTAGCAGCAGAGGAATACATCAAGTATTCACTAGTGTTGCTGAGGTAGTTGTCACTCCATTGAGAACACTGAAACTAGATTCGACGTCACTGACCAGCACTGAACTATAATAGTTTTCACTTTCTACCACACGAGAACATTCTGGAACAGACAGCTTAGCTTATAAACTATCAGGTCTCCTTAGTGATCTTAGATGCTTATTATTATTACCTGAATGCTCTCAATCAAATGCTTTGCTCACGCATTTTAGAAATTAGCTTAGTTTTCTCCAGCCATTGTAAAGTCCGGCTGTATGCAAAGACTCTCCCTATCTAATAGCTACCGCCTGACTCATGCTATCAAAGACACACTACTTACACGCAAGCCGAAGTAGAGTAGGAAGAACACATTGAAAGCCATGTCGATCTGTAATGTGAAATCTTTGTAGAAATTCTGGCAGGATTCTATTGGTCTATTTGAAAGAAAAAGAAAACGGAGTAAATTGTCAGTGTATGAGTTTCTACTCTGGTGAGATTTGTATGCATTTCATCAAAGACCTTGATTCAGAAATCACATTTCTGTTTTCCAGTCGTTTACAAGATACAAGCAAGCATTTCAAATGAATTATTTCATTCATTCAGTTAGTCATTCATACAGCCTTTATATTCACCTGTTCAGGTAATATCTGAGAATTAACATGCAGATAACCTTTAAGAAAGGACAAGCAGGAGAGTACCTCAGGATTCCTTAACCCCACATTAACCCTTAAAGAACTGACTTCTTTCTATAGGACACATACCTATGATACTTTAGGAACAAACCTAACAAGCACACAGCTACAGTGAAACATTACATGTTTTTAATTCATGTCATAATATAAAACCTTAAGAAAAACATGTAGTTGCTTAGGAATACATTACCCATTAGCAACCTGGGGTACTCAGTCTTGTAGAAATCCCTTGTTTATAAGAAGTTGATTTTGGGTTTTTTTTGTCCTTTTTCTCACTTCTTTTTTTGTGTATGACTATTTAACGTACTTTATGTACAGTACTATGAGCTGAGTAGAAAAGCAGCATAGCCCACTGGTAAAATTAAATAACAAAATAAATTGAGGAATTTGAAGCAGTACTCTAAGGGTTAATTTCTGCATGCAGGTTAATTAAAATACCTTTGTGTGTGTCAGGCAGCCATTGCAAATTCTAGCTTATACTATTATGCTTTATTTAACGGTGGGACAGGTACAAAGCATACTCTATACAAACTGGTACTTTATAGATATACTTTTATCTAAGGAAGGAGATAACTTCCATGAGTATGATTAGTGATTTATTTGCGAGGTTTCTAAAATAGGTTGGTGAAGCCACAGAACAATGTTGAAGTCACAGACCAAAGTGAAAGTCATGTCCCAATATATGCTGATGTATATACTATATATACATAATGTCCCACCATATATACATATATACACATACACACATATTGCAAATGATCATGTATTCATCACAACTGTAATAAAGTGGAAAACTAGAACGCAGATCATCCGATCATTTGGAACCCGAGAAAACACCCTTTTAGGAAAGAAGAAATTCTTTGGCTTCCCAGGTCAAATAAATCACTGAACGTGACTGTAATACCAGTTAGTATAGCGGTAACTCTGCAAATAGAATGCTAAACTGCTCAACAAGCAAGATTCTATGCGTTATGAATGTCAGTTACCTAATTTAAGGCATAAAGGAAATTACCTGGGCTACCAGGTCATTACACATGCAGCCAAATTTTCCATTCCTTGTATACATTTCAGGTCAAACAAGTTAAGTACAGCATGCCCTCTCCTGTCTTTAGATGCATGAATGTATACAGCAAAATTCTCCCTGATGTACAAGAGCTTTATGTTTTAAGAAGCTTCAGTGCTATAGGAAATTATATTAAAATGGTTTTTAAAAGCTATTTGCAAAGACATTGAAGTTATGAAACATTTCTGTTACAGTTCACATAGAATTGATTTACAAAAGCAGGCAGAAGGGAAGAGAAGCCAAACGTTAACATACAGGACGGGAAACAGCACCTCATACTTTACAAATACAGCTTTAGCTACAAAAAGAGTGGATATAATCTGAGAACCCAACAGGATCATTTTCTGTATGGCATTATTGAGAGCAAAGGATTTTGTCAAAATAAGGTAGGCTACACACTGAGCCACCATGCACTCTATGAACAGAAATCACAGAAAGTACAGCAGAAGCAGAATGAACAACCCTGCACCAGCACAGAGGCTTGGACCCTTAATTCCAGGTTAGGTTCCTGTAAAAGCTGCAGAAATTCACCGAAGCTAATGGAATTGCACAGATTTATAACTAGGATAGAGCTTCATTATCTTCCTTTCCACAGTTACTTGGTACTTGTCATGACTGCTAGATAAGGTCAGCTGAGGTTGCAGCTAACAGCTGTACTGTTGTACCATTGTCCTTTACAAAAAAAAACCCCTACAAGATCTGACAAATTAGCTAATGCATAATACATCTTCGTCTTGTTTGCAAAACACGTAGCACAGTGGACCACCATCCTGATTTGGGACTTCTGTTTACCTAATACCAGAGCTACTTTTTCTGCTAGTCATATCCCTAAAGCATCCTTCATTTCAGAGATCACCTCTCTCTTTCAATTTCTAAGTTATCCATTTCAAAGATAAACACAAGGTCCTTTCCTCTTTATTTACATGATGATTTTGTCCGAAAGGCATGTCACTAAGGCTAAAGAAATGATTATTTATACTCACAGGATGGATTATACAAGATTTTAAATTTTCCAAATTAAATTTTGGTGATATTCTTTGGTTTGGATTTTTTGTTTTCATCAGTAGCTCACATTTGAGCTGAGAGAAAAATATGGCCACTAATCTTTACCATTGCACCGTTCAGCCTGCTGCAGAAAGGCAGCCAATTTGAAACTCCTCTTTACAGCAAGTTTCCCAAAACCACAAGTGCTATAGTTCTTAGAGTTCCAGACAATAGTGTGCTGGGGTCTCCAGGACTAGTAATATATTCCCTGTTCTAAACTAACCTGAGATGGCTTGTCCTACGGGATTTCAGCCCTTCAGGTCAGCAAAGGTTTCACCTTCGAAGGAGGCAACAGACTGTTAGAAATGCCTTTATTACTCTTCCATGTAAGTGTGCTTCATTGCAAGTGTGGTTTTATGCATTTATACTGCTAAAAAACAGGAGAAACTACACTAAAGTCAATGGAATAATAGGAAAGATTTAACAAAACTGGATAAAAATTACAGTAATGATGTAACTCTAAATGCAATATTTATGTGCGCTTTGAAAGAGCATCTTTAATTTGCTACACAAAAATTGAAAAAAATCCGCTGTAGCCATGACTTCTTGTGTTTTGAAAAGAAAAACTCATAGCACCAATTTTATTTTACTTAACGTAGGGATATCCTGCTGATAATCTATCAAGGACTATAATTCCCCTTTGCCCTGCCATCTTTTTATGTAATAAACTAAATGCTACAAGCAATGCCTGGGCTACACAAACAACATTTGAGAGACTGACAATTTTCTTCAGGTCAACGTTTATATCAAGTTACCATTTGCCGCAACTGTGTGCTCTGTGCTACAATTTAATATAAAAATCTCATCTAGAGAAATAACAGTGGGCTTAGTTTGCCTAACCTGCAGTGAAGACAGAACCTTATTTGATTTTTCAGGCATGGACTACACTCTGTGAATTCTTTTCCTTCCTCTCCTGCTCTTTAAACACTGCTACCCGTTTCAGTTTCACATTACCTCTATTTACTTGTTCTGTTTATTATTACAGCAATACTAGTAGTTATAAAGCCCCGTTATACAGGTGTCATAGGCATAAACTAGTTCAGCGAGCACGAGTGACTACAAGAGGAGTAACAAAATTACTCCAGTTTAACTTTACTCAGATGGGGCAAAATTTTGACAAGGTGTTCCCAGCGTCCTTAAACCTTTTTTGCAGCCGACCTGAAGCCAACACTTTACATGACACTTTTACCACAGCTGAACAAATGAACGAACCCCTTGTCACTTCAATTCAAAAGAATTTACTCCTGTTTATATAACTACTTTTGTCACAAGTTTATTTCATGTATTTATTTATTATTCTCACTTATTTCTGGTTCGTTTGGAACGCTTCTAATGCATTTGAAATGGTTCTACTGGGATTATTCTTTGAATAGTCATAGAATGAGTGAGAGAGGGCAAAAAATGGTATGCATTTTAATGTTTTCTGAAATTATTTGTTTCAGTGAGAATATTAATGTGAAACTTCCCACAGAAGCAGCCTTCATAGAATATTTCCAGGATTCTGCAATTGCAACAGAGTTGAAAATATCCTGAGTGTTTTTTCTTGTATCATTTCACCTCTTGATAGGAGCTGTAGAGCCCATTTCCAACTTCCACTCAAAGCCTTGGCATGACGTATCAATCCATGTCACAGTGCAATCACTGCCATTATGACCACACTGAAGTAAGGGGAAGAAATTCTACGTTCATTCAGATTTTAGGCCAGCTTTGCAATCACGGTGACTTCATCTGGATGATTTTTACGTAAGATGTTCCCCATAATAATGGGAAAGGTTGTGCACACCCAATTCAGTACTTCAAATAACTATCCAATATGCAATTTACAGTTCTCTATTCTTTCTGTGTGAGGAAGTTGGCTCTTGTATTTTTGGCACATGCCATGTCAGTCTGCTCCTAATGGTTTTTGCCTTTTTTTCTTTCTTTCTTTTTAATAACAAGGCCTGCAAAGACTACGATGGATGTCAATTTTTATTTATGTATAATTATATACCAAAATGCAAAAGGTTAATTTTAAGACATATTAATCTAGTTATACTTCGCCAAGTGTTTTGAAGATAAGAAGTTCTATGTAAAACATTCATAAACCACCACAAAAGACAACTACTTCTACTGCAACTTCAGGAAAGTACTGATGTTACTATTGTACCACAGCTGCTACATCTTTGGAACTTTAAGAAGTTATTGAACTTTTAGAAATTCAGAGAATTGTCCTAATTTACAATTTTAATATTTGGAAGCAAAGTTGTCTTCTGAATGGTGGAGGAAAAGCTAAACCCATTATTGAAATTAGCTAAAATATATTTTAAATCTTAATATTAAGTAAATAAAATATAAAATTGAAGAAGTTGGAACTAAAAAAAATTGTTACAAACTTAAGGTGCCTGAGAAAAAAATAAAACAACCTGATACTATGAAAAATTAGGAAGTTTTTAATTTTCTTTGCTCATGACAGTTTTTAGATGGCACAGTAGCACATTCTATGAAAAAACAGTAAAATGTGCAGTTTCTATCAGAAGCATTGTCCATTGATGAGACTGAATTTTAAAATCAAATTATAATTATGTACAAGTAGAGGCTGCTCAAATATAATCAACACAAATGAATAAATAATTGAGAGAAACCACTCAATATTTAG